AAACTCTTAAAGCATGATTATTATCATCACTCCAAAAGTTTTCTTATGCCTCTTCCCAGTCAGTTCCCAATCCCCTAGATGCAACCACTATTCTGATTTTTTCTACCATAGATAATTTGGCATTTTATAGAATTACATGTGAATGGAATCATACAATATGTATTCTTTTGTGTCTTTTTTTTTCATTAAGTTTAATGTTTTGATATCCATCCATGTTGTCCCTATCAGTAGTGGCTTTCTTTTTATTGTATATTAGTATCACATTGTATGAATATACTAGTTTCCTTAACCATTCTCCTTTTGATCAACACCTGGGCTCTTTCCACTTTTTGGGGGGAGAGGTATTATGCATAAGGCTGCCATGGCCAGTATTGTGAAAATCTTTTTGTAAACTTTCATTTCTTGGGTAAATACCTTGGAGTAGAATTGCTGGGACTGCATAGGTGCTTGCTTAATTTAAAAAACACCAAACTTCCAGATGTTTTAAAAGAGGTTGTACTATTTTTACACTCCCACCAGCAATATGTGAGAATTCTGGTTGCTCTACATCTTTGGCAACATTTGATGTTACTAGTCTTTAATTTTAACCAGTCTAGTGAGAGTGTTATGGTGTCTTATTGTGATGTTAATTGCATTTCGATGATGATTGATGATGCTGAATATATTTTCGCCTTCTTATTAGCTACAGGCATACCTTGGAGATATTACAGGTTCAGCTGCAGACCACCACAATAAAGCAAATATTGCAATAAAGCTAGTCACAATGTTTTCCAGTGCATACAAAAGTTATGTTACACTATACTGTGGCCTATTAAGTGTGTGATAGCATTATGTTTCAAAAACAATGTACATACCTTAATTAATGCTTTATTGCTAAAATTGCTAACCATCATCTGAGCCTTCAGCAAGTCATACATTTTTTTGCTGGTGGAGGGTCTTGCATTGATGTTGATGGCTGCTGACTGGTCAGGATGGTGGTTACTGAAGGTTGGGGTGGCTGTGGCAATTTCTTAAAATAAGACAACAGTGATGTTTGCCTCATCAGTTAAAGTTTGCCACATTGATTTACTCTTCCTTTCATGATTTCTCAAATATCAGTGATCACAGATCACCTTGTTATAACAAATATAATAATAATGAAAAAGTTTGAATTATGAAACAGGGATACAAAGTGAGCAAATGCTGTTGGGAAAATGGCATCAATATATACTTGCTCAATCCAGGGTTCCCACAGACTTTAATTTGTAAAAAACACACTATCTGTGAAGCACAATAAAGTGAAACACAATAAAACAAGATATGCTTGTATTTCTTTTTCTTCATGAAATGTTTGTTCAAATCTTTTGGCCATCTTCAAAATTGGTTTGTTTGTCTTTTTACTTTTGAGTTGTAGGAGCTCTTTATACATTCTGGACACAACTTCTTTGTCAGATATATGTTTTGTAAATATTTTTCTCTCAATCTGTGGATTACCTGCTCATTTTATTAACTGTGTGTTTTAATTAATTGGTTTAATTTTATACCTCCTGCTATCCCCATGCATGGTTGTAACTTGATAATATTTACTGAATAAAAGACCTAAAAGTTGTTCCTCTCTCCTTTCCTTCCTTCCTTTATTTAGCAACACTTACTGTTTACCTACTATGTGGCAAGCTCTCTTCTGTGCTTTTGGGGATACAACAAAAAGCAAAACAGACAAGCTTCCTAATCTCATGGCACTTGCATTTGTGTGTGTGTGTGTGTGCTGGTGGGGTGGAAGACAGAAAATCAAATAAATAAACAAGAAAATATGAGGTAATTATAGGTGCCATAATATAAAAATGCACTGTATGCATAATGAGAAAGGGATGATTAGGGAGTCTTTTCATGTTGGAGGATCAAAAATCTGAAGAGATAATATTTAAGCTGAGACTAGAATAAGAAGAAGCCATTTTTTTCCTGGGGGAAATGGATCTCAGGCAGAGGGAACAGCTAATAAAAAAGTCCTTAAGGTGATTTGGGGCTAAGCATAAACTATACAAAATACCCCTTTAGGCAAACTAAGGTGTCCGGGATTGGTTGCTTTGGAAGTTATCATAACTGGAATAAGCTGATGCTATACTGTTACTCTTTCTTAGTACTACAGTACTTAGCAGTTTCTAAACATCTTCCTTGCCCTCCCACACCCCCAGCTCCTAGGGTCCAAGATGCTTTGAAGATAGGAATTGTGGATTAGTTAACACAGTGGTCATCTGGGTTAAGGCTAGGTCAGGAAATTTTTCCCATCAAAGGTAACCAAGTGGTAGACAAAGTAAATCAAGGGTTGCATAAGTAATAGCTAAATTAGTCTTTATAAGATAGTAAAGTATGAAATGTTCTACCTCTGCTTTTCATGTTTAGAGTGTGCAATGTGAGAGTCTATGAACAAAATACCATTTTGATAAATGGAATATAATTTATTTCTAAATTTTCCCCATTTAGAGAGAGAGAAAAGAAAATATGATGGGAAGGGATAGTGGAAGATAGAGACAGTAAGTGAAATAGAGTAAAAATCATGAAGAAATGGAGGTATATCGACCAAGAAGAGGAATGAAAGAGTTCTAGAGGGAGGTAGAGTACCCGAGAAAGAACTGGGTGAAAGGGAAACCAGAAGTTAAATAGTTTTTGTGTGAGAGTGTTCCTATCATCCTCTCATGCCTTTGGGCTATGGGTACCATAGTAGGTTATTGTTTCCTTTGAAAATGTGACGGTGCTCTCTAGTAAAATTTAGCACATACCTTTCTTCTGTGTTTCCCTTCTGATGAGCTGATTCAATTCTACATTAATGCCAAATTCCTTGCATGATTTCTTTTCATTTGAGTTAATAAAACAAACTGTTATGCCTCTAATACCCATTCTCCCATACTTCAGATGGAGGGTTGCCTATAACCAAAATCATGCCTTCTGATCATTATGGTTTTGACCATTAATATATGGCAAACCCCATTTCTACTGTGAGGATTTTAGACCAAAAAATAGTGTGGTTCTGACAGGACTTACGCTAAGGGCAGATAGTTTATAACTGAGTGGGTCAAACTAGGCCCTGTGGAGACCAGCAAGTTCCATGTGAAAATCACAGGCCATCTGGCTGATGACTTGCTGTACTCCAGTAAAGGTCTAAGGTATAGTGAGCTGAGCATTGCTGTGGTCAGAACTGCTGGAAACAGGGCAATAACAGATTTGGAATTATTCTAAAGGAGTGAGATGGATGGCTGCTTCCTAATACTCTCCATTAGAAGAAGTTTGAGGCTGGAGAGAAAAAAACGGCCTAATATGCAGGACTGGTAGCTAGGAATTTAATATATATACATTCCCAAGAAAACAGTCAAAATATATAGCTACAGTGATCAGTCACAAACTGAAGATATATGCTGTAATGTAAAATTATAGACTGGACTATAGCAGGAACAGCAATCCCATAAAGGGCGATATAAAAATAAACCAATGAAAGGAATTTAACAGTTCATGTAGGATATGTACCAGCTCATCTTAATCTACATAAGATGAAGCAATTGGATACCCCCAAAATAACGCATACTCTAAAGTCTTGGGGACTCCAAGTCCCAACTCAGTTCTCTTGCCAGTTCAATTTAAGGTTGCAGAATTGGCACATGAAACCTCAGGGCATATGGACATGAATGTCCTAGGTAAACAGGGGAGAGTTAAAAAAAAAAGTAAAAAAAAGTATGAATCAAACAAGAAAGCAAGTAAGCAATATAAGGTACGTCAAATTACTAAAAACTTGAATCTTCAACAAGCTATTTTTATTAAAGTATATTTGACATGGAATATTATATTAGTTTCAGGTGTACAACATAATGATTTGACATTTATATTACTTACGATGTGGTCACCATAATAAGTCTAGTAACCATCTGTCACCATACACACTTATTATGATGATATTGACTATTTTCCCTATGCTATTTCCACAGATATTACATCTCTATGACTTTTTTATTTTTTATATATAACTCATTTTTAAGGGAAGTGGTGGTGGTAAACCAGACAAATGTGACATGTAGATTATATTGGGCCATTTCCTAGATGTTTAAACAAAGAATATTGCTTTATAGAAGCATAAGCACTCAGAAAGAAGGTTTGCAAAGCACACCAGATGAGAATAGTATGACCATGGCTTTTAGACAAAGTTAGAGAAACTATATGATAGATATGGAATATTGGCAGTAATAGGAAATGACCAAAGAACTAATTTTACAAGAGAAGCTGTCCAAAATTTGCAAAAGAAAGAGAATGTGAGACTTTCATTTACCATAAATTTCCTAGGCTCCAGAGGAAGTTGGAAACTTTAGTGCGTGGATTATTAAAAGCACAGAAAGAATTTAGCAGCACCAGATATAAATGGCAATCAGGCAAAGATGTTAATAAAGACAGAATTAACTGAAAGACTGAGTGAATATATCTTCTTTAATAGAGTTGTTTAAGAAAGATAGATAAACTCACCTACACTCACTTTGTTCTCTAATCCCCTAAGAAGAGATAAAGACCATGAAGTATTTAAAGGAGAGTATGAGTAGTAGATCCTTATAAGGATCACAAAAAGAGGAACAATAACATCTAGGGATACCTTTTCAACCTTACCCTGTAGCCAGAATCTGTAGGATGCATAAAGGCTCAAGGATACTAATCTTTATATTTCTCTTTTTTGTTGTTAGGTCTGCTTTGCTGTTTTCTCTTGGCTGTGACAATCTGCCAGATGGTCATTATAACAGCAGTTCACCACCAGTACCAACAAGAATACCACATGTAATTTTGTGGAAGGTTCACCAACTTTATCAAAAATTGTTATAGGACCACTGGCCTCATTCTGTACTTGATCATCATCATAATCATATCAACAGCCTGATTTCTGGACCAAGCAACCACAGAACCATTGCCAGCCCCACAGGATTCATTGTCACCAAGAGTCCATTTGCAACAGCTTTTAAGATTATTTTATCTTCTGAGAAGAGCATTGAGGCATGGAGGCTGTGCCAATCCCTGTGCTAGTTGGTGGACTTGTTGATTGCGTTGCCCAGTTAATAAGAATAGCTGAAGAGATTTTGCAATTAATTTCACAAGAACAAGTTCCTTGTGCAGAGCAAAATGATGTAGCAGAACAGATAGAAGCGGGTGCACCTCATTCCGAGGAAGATCCACTACCAGATCTCGCTGATCTCTCAGACTTAGAATCAATACTGACACCAAGAGAAGATGAAGACCTAGTGTTTGATATAGATCAAGCTATGTTAGACATAGAAAACATATATGATGATGTACTCTCTGGTGTAAATGATGACTTGAGAAGTGGATGAGACCCCACCAGCATGCAAGAACTGATCGTTTCTCTGTTTCAAATAATTTCTTTTCTTTTTGTTTCAAATATTTTCTGATTTTTCTGAATATTAGTAATACAAATTTTCTCCTAGTTCTGCACATTTTCCTTACTAATACCATATAGCACCAATAATATTTGATTTAGTTCCAGCAGAGGCTGGTCTCTTTTCTTCATTGTACTTGTTTTAAAAGCTCTTACTTTAGCCATATGGTTCTTTCTTTGCCTGTACTTGTTCTCCTGCTAAGATTCCTGATAAAAGGCATAAACAATAACAAAAAAACTCCTCACCTAACAATGGAGTGAAGACCTGATGAACTCTATTACATCTTAAGACCCAATTCCATTGTTCTGCAATGAATGGAAACTGAAAGGGGAATAATCCCTAGGATGACCTTTAGTGAATATTTTCACATCAACAGGACAATACTGGAACACTTCTATTTAAGAAGATATAACTTCTTACTTTAAAAGACCTCCATACTAGGCCTTTAGGAAAGTGTGTCAACCAACGGATTCTATAGCCGACTAGGGGAAATAATTCTGGAAAAGCAGCATCTACCAGATAATAAAACTGCAAAAATGTTTTCAGATAACTTCTGCAGGGGAAAAGTTTTCAAAAAGCAGAGGCCAAGAGGTTGCAATGCAGGACTGTTTCCTCCTCAAATGCTGACCCACATTGAACTACTCTGCAGTATTGGTTCCCCGAATGGAAATGGCAGATTATACCAAGTAATGAGAGAAGTACTAGTACTAGAAGGGGGCTAGATAAAGCCCTACAAGAACTAGTCACCAATGGAAAGCCAAATACTTATGGCATAGACTTAGAGATAATGGTCTATAAGTAGTAATGGATAAAGTATATCTCCTTGGGTATAGCTAGTAATGGATAAAATATATCTTCTTGGGCATAGCGAAATATATAAAGAAAAGCTGATAGGCTTATTATAGTGAAACTGCTGTAGCATTGACAGAAATTTTAACTCACTATTTTGCTAATTAGTTCATTAGATTCCACATATAAGTGAAATTATATGGTACTTGTCTTTCTCTGATTGGCTTATTTCACTTAGCACAATGCTCCATAGGTCCATAGATGCTGTTGCAAGGGGTAAGATTTCCTTTTTTATGACTGAGTAGTATTCCATAGAGAGAAGGCTGACAGCTGCCAGGGGCGGGTGCCTGGGTGGGCATGGGTAGAAGGATTGAGCAAAAAATAAA